CTGTGTGTGTGTACATTCCTACAGCCCCCCACCCGCCCCCTGTCTGGTCACCCTGGGCCATGTTTACTCTGCCCCCAGCAGATGTCTGCCCTGCCCTGGGAGGGGCTGACCCTCCTCCATCTGTCCAGCCAGCAGTCCACAGGATGTTCCCGAGACACAGTCTCCATCCGACGTCCCCTCCCTCAGGCCACCCTCGGGTCAGGACCCAGGCGTCCAGGGTGGCAGGGGTGGGGCTGCAGCGTGGGGGGGCCCTGTCAGGGCACTGGAATGAGGGTGGGGGGTGGGGAGGTGACGGGCCCAACAGGTTGTGCCTCATTCCTGCCCCGCCTCTCACTTCCTGGGTGCCTGCCTCGGGCAGGGGGTGGACAAGATGAACCCCATGGCCTTAGAGTGTCTGGGTGGGGCATGGCCTGGCGGGAAAGGACTGGCTTCTGCTGGGCACCCTGACACCCAGGCCTGAGAGAGAAGAGGAGCCCTCTCCCGGCTCCTGTGCCCAACCCTGCATGCAGAGTGTTCCATCTATTATTCATGTAATCCCCACAACAACCCAATAAGCTGAACATAATGATCCCCCATTTTCAGATGGGGAAACTGAGGTCCAGGCAGCAATGAAGCCAGAGACAGGATTTGAACCCTTCCAAGACCCCAGCTAGCTCACCAAGTGCCTTCCTCCCCTCTGTAAAAATGGCACATGTGAGGTGGAGTATGCACTCAGGCCCCCAGGAGGCCAGGCTCGAGGGGGACGCCGACTAGCTCTGAGTCAAAATGGGCCCCTGGATGAAATGAATAAGAAAACGGCTTTAACCGTTTCATCGCCGCGACAGACTCTGCCAAAACTTCCTGTGGGCTGGGAGGAGGGGTTGGAGGCTGGGTTCCCGGAGGTTTGCAGGGGTGGGGGCGGGGGGTCTACCAATTAATTCGGGGGCGGGGTGAGGTGGAGAGCCTCAGGCCTACTAAGGGGAATCGCTGCCCCGCGGATGCTCGCTGGTGGGGGACGTCTTCCCCGCGGAGAGCGAAGTCCCCAGAACTTGGTTGTCCGCCCCGCAGTCTGGAGGGGTCCCAGACTCCGCAGCCCCTTCCCCAGGGGCCTGAGTCACACACGGGGAAAGCAGGGAGGGGTGAGTCACGGGGGCGGAGAAGCGGGAGCGTGGCCAGCTGCGGTCAGGGGACCCCCGAGCTGGCCTGAGTCACGCACGCCCGGGCCATGCTGACCCCAGCCCCCTGAGATCAGCGGGAAGTGCATTGTCGATGGACTAGGCAGCTGGAGGAAAAGCAGGATGGCGGGGCGGGGAGAGGAAGCACGCGCCAGGCCGCGCTGGAAGCTCTGGTTCCCATGGCAACTGGAGGGTCTAAGCTCCAAGGGAAGGTTCCCTCCCCCAACAGGGACTGCCCTCCCGCCAGGCGCAGGGGAAGCCCCCGCGCGCTCCGTCGAGGGGCCACAAGTTTCGGATCGGGCAGGAAGGGGTTAACGGCGGCCCCCTCCCGGGTTTCACCGGCGCCCCAAGGTCCCGGCCGCGGGGAGGGGGGCGGCTGGTCCTGACCCGCGTGCCTCCGCGCGCCCAGCCCCCGCCACCGCCCACGCACGCGCGCACCCAGCCAGAGCAGAGCTCCTATCCTCCCTCCCCCAGCGCTCGCACGCACGACCGCGTCGAGTTCCACGCACGCAGCGACCCCCGTCGTGTCTCACGTCACGCACGACGCACGCGCCCACGCAGTGCGGGGAGGGGGCCCTCCTGGAGGAGAACGGCGGGGCGGGACGCGGGGCCCCTTGCGCACTTCACTGCCTCCGCGCAGCCTGCGGTCCTTTGTGACTTTGACTCCCACTTCCCGCTCCCCACACGCAAGGTCACAAACAAACTCCCCGATCCACAATGTCACACGGACGCAGGATACACCTGCCACATTTTGGCACCAGCCCTCTCTAGTCCAGCCAGCCTCGCAGCGAACTCGGACACACGTGGATGGATACGCAGATAGTCATGCAGTCACGTCAGTCACATAGCGTTTGTGATAGGGACGCAAACAGAGCCATATTCATACACAGGTAGGTGGCACATATATCCTGATAAAGCAACCCCATCTAGCCAAAGTAGGACGGGGGCAGCGGCTCAGGTCTGTATTCTCAGCACTTTGGGAGGCCAAGGCCAGAGAGGATCGTTTGAGGCCAGGAGTTCAAGGCTGCAGTGAGCCTTGATTGTACCACTTCACTCCAGCCTGGGCAACAGAGGAGACCCTGTCTCAAAAATAAAAGAACAGAACAGGCAGGGAGAAAGTCTTGGACACCAGGGCTTGGTTTGTCACACAGCCACACCTCTCCCATGAAGACTGTGGTGGCTCAGAGATACAGATACAGACACAGGACGGTCATGCCATCACCTGACCCCTGTTATCACAAATAGGCACAAAATAGGATATAGTCACAAAGACAAGGCCATGTACAGGGACACTCAGAATGTCACGTGGACATGGATAAACCAAGGACACTTATGACAGGGTCATATCTCAGACTATGAAGACAAAAGTAGGACATGGTCACAGACACACTAGTAAAGCTATGTTAAGGCACTGATTCTCATGCCTTCACTTCTCACCCAAAGAATGACACAGATACAAGCTGGGCACGGTGGCTCATGCCTGTAATCCTTGCACTTTGGGAGGCTGAGGTGGGTGGATCACGAGGTCAGGGGTTCAAGACCAGCCTGACCAACATGGTGAACCTGGTCTCTACTTAAAAATACAAAAAATAGCCAGGAGTGATGGTGCACACCTGTAATCCCAGCTACTTGGGAGGCTGAGGCAGGAAAATTGCTTGAACCCGGGAAGCGGAGGTTTCAGTGAGCTGAGAGTGTGCCATTGCACTCCAGTCTGGGCGACAGAGCAAGACTTCGTCTCAAAAAAAAAAAAAAAATGACACAGATACAGACCCAAAGTGAGGTCCCATATAGACATATATAGTAGACACAGACGAAAAACACGTGAAGATTCAAACTCTGGCTGGACCATACAGAGATACACAGGGGCACACACTAGAGGCTCCCTAGTCACTCTAAATCTGGATGGTTTCTTTCTTTTTTTTTTATTTTTATTTTTAGGTGAGTGCATACATCTGAGTTTTTTTTTTTTTTTTTTTTGAGACAGAGTTTCGCTCTTGTTGCCCAGGCTGGAGTGCAAATGTCATGATCTCGGCTCACCACAACCTCTGCCTTCCGGGTTCAAGCTATTCTCCTGCCTCAGCCTCCTGAGTAGCTGGGATTACAGGCATGCGCCACCACACCCAACTAATTTTGTATTTTTAGTAGAGATGAGGTTTCTCCGTGTTGGTCAGTCTGGTCTTGAACTCTTGACCTCAGGTGATCTGCCTGCCTCAGCCTCCCAAAGGGCTGGGATTACAGGTATGAGCCACCTCGTCCAGCCTCCTGGATGTTACAGACAAGGATGTTAGAGACTCCCCCCTCCTCCAGTCCCTGAAAGCAACCCCCACCATCAAATCACACACAGCCTGCTGCACAAACTCCAAGGCCTTATGACACAATGGATGCAGGACACATGCCCATGTCACACAGTCACAGGCCCACCATCTCACACCTACAAACTCCGGCACATTTGGCCAAGCACGGTGGCTCATGCCTGTAATCCCAACACTTTAGGAGGTGGAAGCAGGAGGATTGCTTGCATCCAGAAAGTCGAGACCATCCTGGGCAACATAGCAAAACCCCTTCTCTCCCCTTCCCCCCAAAAAAACAAAACCAGCACATTTCACATGGACTCAGACACACACAGACATATGGAGCGGGGGACTGGCTAGGAGTTCCTGGCAGGATGTCAGTATCAGGGCTGTAAGGGGGCCTGCCAGAGTCCTCCATGGTAATGATGCATGTACTACCCAGTGGCTGTGGTCAGTCAGGGGAGTGGCAGAGGGTCACTGTTCTCCAGTTGTGGGACTGAGGGTCCCCTTCCCAGCCCTGGTGAAGACTGGGTCCCTGCCCAGATGTGAAGGCTGGAGGGGGCAGGCTGGGGTCCAGCTGTGGCCACAGGGAGGGGTTGAGTCAGCCACTTCCCAGCAGTACAACTCAGGCTGGGCCCAGCTGTTCCTGGAAACCAGTAGGAGGGGGTGGGGTCCCCAATCCAGCTGAGGATTGCTGGCCCAGACCTGCTCACCAGGGATCTGTGTCCCTACAAATGGAGGCCTTCAGACCATCCCCCAAAACGTTGGGGTTCTCTTCACTTAAAACAGAGGTTTGCATCCTTCTTCCAAAATGTGGAAGATTTTCAGCCCTTCTTGCTGAATTAAAGGTGCCTGGATCTCCTCACAGTGGGGCTCCCTGTATTTCAAAACAGAGATTCCTGCTTTCTTCCCTGCCAACATAGAAGCTCACTGCTTTTCCCCAGACTTGGGACTCCCTGCCCCCCAAAATGGAGGGTTGTGCTCCTCCAGAAACTGAGCACACCCAGACCTTTCCTTAAATCTGGGGACTGCTGGTTCCCGGAACATCTGGGATGCCCACAACATCACGCCAACATTAGGACAATTTAAGTCAATTTCCCTAAATATTTGAATTTCCAGATTTCCCCTAAACATCAAAATCCCTGCGACCTTCGCCCTAATGTGGTGATCTCAGCAGGTCCAGCCACCCAGGCTTCTAACAGCTGTGGTTCCTGGCTCACGTCCCACTGCTACCTGGGAACGGGGTGGCCCTGTCTCCCTGTATTGGCAGCACCCTCTCCTCTGGTGAATGCGAAATGGGGGAGCCAACGGCAGCTGTTCCCACGGCTGCCGGAAGACAGCCTGGTCCGGAAGCCAGTGCTGCCGGCCCTTGTCCCCTTCCCCCCACTATCCTCCCCACCCGCTCCCAGGGGCTGGAGTCTGGAAAACAACGAGGGAGGAGGTTGTGGGGTTGTGGACGAGCATCCGAGGCCGGGTGCGTACGACTGCGCATGAGTGGGCTGTAATCGGGTGTCTGGGGGTGAGTGCGTTCCTGCGATGCGCGCAGGGAGCAGCTGTCACTTTGCCCACCCAGCTCCAGGGCAAGGTCGTTGGCGCCACGATCTTCTGGGTGGATGGGAGAAGCGCCCCTCCCCTCCGATCTGGGCCCGCCCCCAATGCAGAGCCCGTCCCTCCCTCCGGGTACAGCTAATAACCTCTAATTAGAGCACATTACCCAGCCCGCCTACGGGGGAGGGGTTGCTAAGGGACCCTGGAGTCATAGTGCACGAGCCTGGGCTTCACCCTTCCCCTCAAAACCGGGAACCTCTGTTTTCTTGCCGGCAAAGCAGGGAATTAAAACAGCACTTGCCATCTAGATACAAGGGGATGATCCAATTAGTCTACGTATTCAAATCTATTGGCGCAGGGACTGCATACAGCAAGCACTCCATGCATGGTGACTGCAATTTGATTGTTAACTATAATTGGTATCACTTTCCATTGAGCCCCCTCTACCCCTCCACCGCCCCTGCGAGGGTCTCACCGCGGGCGCAAAATCTTCACCCTAGGCCACGTTCTGCAGTCTCCGCGCCCCCTGGTGGGCGCAGGCGAAGCGGCAGCTTCAGCGAAATCGTGAGTTTTGAGGTTGAGGGGTTACCCCGCGCGCATCTAGGTAGGGGAAGGCCCGAGGGGAGCATCGTGGAAGACGGATCCAGGCTGGGCAAGGGTGCCTGTCCATCAGCCAGGACATGTGTCTAGTTGACTTCCTGCCCTCGACCTAGGACCACAACCGTGTCCCCTTTTCTGCTCCTGGGGTCAAGAATGCGGGGAGGATCCCTTTATTTGTTGAGACAGGGTCTCCCCCTGACGTCCAGGCTGGAGGGCAGTGGCGCGACCACAGCTCACTGCAGCGTTACCTCGCGGGCTGAAGCGATCCTCCCACCTCAGCCTCTGGAGTAGCTGGAAATAGGCGCGTGCCACCACGCCCAGCTACTTTTTTTAAATTTTATTTTTGTAGAGACGGAGTCTTGCTGTGTTTCGAGGGCTGTTCTCGAACTCCTGGGTTCAAGCAATCCTCCCTCCTCGACCTCCCAAAAGTGCTGGGATTACAAATGTGAGCCATTGCGCCGGGCCTATTTTAAAATTTTTATTTTTCGTTTTTAGAGACAGGGTTTCACCGTTTCAGCCAGGATGGTCTCGATCAACTGCCCTTGTGATCCACCCGCCTTGGCCTCCCCAAGTGCTGAGATTACAGGCGTGAGCCACCGCGCCCGGTCTAAACATTTTTAGTTACTTTTTGAGACAGCGTCTCTCTCTGTCGCCCACGCTGGGGTGCAGTGGCCCTATCACGGCTCAAGCCATCCTTCCATGTCAGCTTCTGTAGTAGCTAGGACCACAGAAACGCCACCATGCCCGGCTAATTTTTTTTTTTTTTTAGCCCAGCGGGGAGTTCTGTATTTTGGCCAGGCTGGTCTCGAACTCCTGACCTTGACCTCGTGATCCGCCCCCCTCGGCCTCCCAAAGTGCTGGGATTACAGGCGTGAGCCTCCGTGCCTGACCTACATGGCTAATTTTTAAATTTTTTGAAGAGACGCAGGTCTCTCCATGTTGTGCAGGCTGGTCTCGAACTCCTGGCCAAACTAATTTTCCCTGCTAGGCCTCCCAAAGCACTGACAGTCGAGAGCCACCGCGTACGGCGGGAAAACCCCTTTAGTATCCCCTCTCTGAAGCCACAGAAAGTGCCAGGGATCGCCCACCGCCACCCCTCCGCCCCCTCACGCAGATAAAGACTCCGATGATAAAATGGTTAGACACATGAATTAATTTCAGTTGCAGGGAAGAGACGTGAATGCACTTGTGTAACAGGGTGGAGCAGCTCCGCCTCAAAAGGATCTTGAGGACCTCCCCACCCCAAAAAGGGCCAGGGGGAGGAAGGGAGGTGGGACTACCGTCAGATGCACAAGGCTGGGCCAGGCTGACCCCTAGCGGCAGGGCAGGGGCCCGAAGGTTGCCCGGATCCAAGATGGCGGGGCTGGAGGCAAGAGCGGGGGTGGGGAGGAGATTACGTTTTGAGGCGGAGCCTGCGTTTGGGGGAGGGGCGGGGCCTGCGCTAGGGGGCGGGACGGGGCGGCGCTCTAGGCCGAGCGGGAGGTCGGGGCTGCAGGCGCTCGCTGGTGGCGGACCCGGAGGCGGCTGCGGCGCGGGGGCTCTGTGGCCGGGGTCGAATCTGATCGGGAGCCATGAGCGTGGACAAGGCGGAGCTATGCGGGTCTCTGCTCACCTGGGTAGGTCATGGGGCGGGTTGGGGGAAGGTGAGCGCCCTGCTCCTCTTGCCCCGGATCCTGGCCCTGGTTCGGTCAGCCCCTTGGTGCTGGGGCTGGGAGGTGCAGGGGTCGTCGGCTTGCTGGACCGTTGGACTCTGGCCCGAGCACCCGCCCCCCTCACGTGGCAAGTCTGCGTGGAAAGGACAGGTGAGGCCCCGCCCCTCTTTCTGGGTCTAGTGGGGCGAGGGCACAGGTGAATCGGCCTGGTCACGTGGCGCCTGTAGGGCCCAGGTAACTCGTGATACCGTCCTGGCCTGGACGCGCATGGTTTGTTGGGCAGAGGTGAAGTGAGGCCACGCCCCCTCTGGTCTCAGGTGAGCAGAAGCCACTCCCTCGCAGAGCTGCTGTGGCGGAGCAGCACGGGCTCCACCACGTGGGGTTTGCTGGCTGGAAAAGTCTGCAAAAGCGGAGTGGTTCGGCACTCCAGGCCCTAACTCTCCGTTGCCCTTTCCTTTACCCTTCAGTTACAGACGTTCCACGTTCCATCTCCCTCTGCCAGCCCACAGGACCTGAGCAGCGGACTTGCCATAGCCTATGCACTGAACCAGATGTGAGTGGAGCTGAGGGGGAGCATCCCAAAAGTGTCCCCCAGCCTGCTTATTTCACCTTCTTGCCCCTAGAGACCCATCCTGGTTCAACGAGGCGTGGCTCCAGGGCATCTCAGAAGATCCAGGTCCCAACTGGAAGCTGAAGGTGACAGGTGGACTCATGATTAGAGGACAGACTGGTGAACAGATGACCAGGGATGGGCCAGCTAGGCACATGTCCTGGGTGATGCCAGGAAGAGGGACAGATGTCTAGTGATCAACCATTTGTTCATCCATTCATCTATTGAGCACTCACCCTGTGCCAGGCTTCGGCATTCAGCAAGGAATAACACAGACAAACCTGCTTCACACAGCCATCATTCTAGTGACAAGAGACACATACACAACCATAAAAATTAACTTCCGGGCCGGGTGCAGTGGCTCACGCCTGTAATCCCAGCACTTTGGGAGGCCCAGGCGGGTGGATCGAGACCATCCTGGTCAACAAGGTGAAACTCCGTCTCTACTAAAAATACAAAAAATTAGCTGGGCATGGTGGTGCGTGCCTGTAATCCCAGCTACTCAGGAGGCTGAGACAGGAGAATTGCCTGAACCCAGGAGGTGGAGGTTGCCCTGAGCCGAGATCACGCCATTGCACTCCAGCCTGGGTAACAAGAGCAAAACTCCGTCTCAAAAATAAAGAAAGAAAGAAAGAAAAAAATTAACTTCCAGGCTGGGTGCAGTGGCACACGTCTATAATCCCAGCACTTTGAGAGGCAGAGGCGGGTGGATCACTTGGGGCCAGGAGTTCGAGACAGCCTGGCCAACATGGTGAAACCCTGTTTCTACCAAAAATGCAAAAGTTAGCCAGGTATGGTGGTGTGCACCTGTAATCCCAGTTTCTTGGGAGGCTGAGAGATGAGAATCGCCTGAACCCAGGAGGTGGAGGTTGCAGTGAGCCGAGATCGAGCCATTGCACTCCAGCCTGGGCAACAGAGCAAGACTCTGTCTCAAAAAAAAAAGAAAAAAAAATCCACACTTTAGATGCCAATAGTTCTATGAAGACAGTAAAAAAGCAAGGCCTTAAGAGAAAGCAATGAGATCATGGGTGGATGATTACGTCAGATGGGTTAATCTCCAAGTGAGATTTGGGGGAACAGTGTTCCAGGCACAGGGAATAGCAGATGCAAAGGCTCTGAGTTGGGAATAAACTTGGTGTGATGGAGGAATGGCAGAGAGGGCAGAACAGAGAGGAAGAGGGCAAGATTTGTAGAACATGAGGTCATCAGAGGCCTGGCAGGCCACAGTAGGGATGTGGATTCTATTTTTAAGTGCTGTGGAAAGTCAAGGCAAGGTTTTAGCAGAGCAAAGATGCAACCTGGCTTGGGCTTCATAAAGCTCCCCCTGGCTATGTGGAGCAGAATAAAATGTAGGCAGCAAAGGTGGAAGAGGAGAGGCAGCTGGTGCATGAATCCAGGTGAGAGGTGACGATAGATGGCCGTCACAATAGGGCTGAAGGATGGTGGGGCAGGTGGTGAGATGTGACTTGGTTCTGGGGATATATGAAGAAAGATTGTCACAGTGGCTCATGCCTGTAGTTCCGGCAGTTTTGGAGGCTGAGGTGGGAGGATTGCTTGAGCTCAAGAGTTTGAGACCAGCCTGGACTACATAGCAATACCTCCTCTCTACAAATAAAAAAAAGTAGTTCCAGCTACTACAGAGGCAGAGACAGGAGGATTGCTTGAGTCCAGGAGATCAAGGCTGCAGTGAGCTAAGATGGCACCACTGGCCAGCTGCAGTGGGTCACACCTGTAATCCCAGTACTTTGGGAGGCTGAGGCGGGTGGATCACCTGAGGTCGGGAATTCAAGACCAGCCTGACCAACATGGAGAAACTCTGTCTCTACTGAAAATATAAAAATTAGCCAGACATGGTAGCCCATGCCTGTAATCCCAGCTTCTCAGGAGGCTGAGGCAGGAGAAACCCTTGAACCCGGGAGGCGGAGGTTGCAGTGAGCCAAGATGGCACCATTGCACACCAGCCTGGGCAACAAGAGTGAAACTCCATCTCAAAAAAAAAAAAAGTTGGATGCAGTGGCACACTTTGAGAGTCTGAGGAGGGCAGATCACAAGGTCAGGAGATCAAGACTATCCTGGCCAACATGGTGAAACCCTGTTTCTACTAAAAGTACAAAAATTATCTGGGTGTGGTGGCATGCACCTGTAGTCCCAGTTACTCAGGAGGCTGAGGCAGGAGAATCATTTGAACCCAGGAGGCAGAGGCTACAGTGATCCGAGATCATGCCATTGCACTCCAGCCTGGGTGACAGAGTGAGACTCTGTCTCAAAAAAAATAAATAAATAGATTGCAGTACTGTACTTCAGCCTGGGTGACAGAGCAAGATCGCGTCTCAAAAAACTAAAGCAAAAAATTAAACAACACCTCGAAACAAAACAAAGATGAACAGGCAGACAAAAGGGCAGAAAGCCAGGCAGGTCACCGCAAGAGGAAGGCACATGCATGCAGAACAGGATGAGATGAGCAGGGAATGAGAAGTGAGGTGAACAAAGGGATGGGATGTACAGATTCAGAGTGGGGGTCCTCCAAACTTGTCCATAGCTCCTCGCTCCTCCCTAGGTCAGCAATCTGAAGACGGTCTTACGGAGCCTGGTAGAGTACTCCCAGGATGTGAGTAACTGTAAAAGGATTTAGGGTGTTGAGTTGGGAGGAGGGTGGTTCCATGAGCCCCTGACACCCCCTTCTCCCCAGGTCCTGGCACATCCTGTGTCAGAAGAGCACCTCCCGGATGTGGGCCTCATTGGCGAGTTCTCAGACCCAGCAGAGCTCGGCAAACTGCTTCAGCTGGTGCTGGGCTGTGCCATCAGTTGTGAGAAAAAGCAGGGTATGGGGAGCTTACGGGGTCCCCAGGGGCTGGCCTGAGGAAATCCTCCTTCCTCCCCACCCCACCCGACCCGACCCGTGGGTCTCAGCCCCCCCCCACCTTGATCTCCAGAGCATATCCAGAGAATCATGACGCTGGAAGAATCGGTTCAGCATGTGGTGATGGAAGCCATCCAGGAGGTGGGTGGAGGCACTCAGTGTGGCAACTGGAAAATGTCAGGGGAGGGGACATCTCTAGGGCAGAGGCAACTGGGCACAGGCCCTTCCCTGGTAAGGTCTAGAGTGCCTGGGACTCAGCTGGCCAGACATCTCTGTCTCTCTCATGTGTCTGCCAGCTTCTCCCAGCTCTAAGTCACAATCTAGGAGGCTCAAGGGATCTGGCTTCCTTCTGTGCTGGAGGCAGAAGGGCAGCCACTAGGCTGGGGTTATTGGGCAGAAGTGGCCTTGATGACGGGAGTATGGAGAGGTTCTCAGGTTGGATATTAGATGCCATGAAGGCTGCCCTCAGATATCCAGTTCATCACAATGCCCCTTCCCACTCCCCAGCTCATGACCAAAGATAATCCTGACTCCCTGTCACCAGAGACATATGGCAACTTTGATACCCAGGTAAGAGATTTGGGGGAAAAGTGTTCCAGGCACAGGGAACAGCACATACAAAGGCCCAGAGTTGGGAATAGGTTTGCTGTGATTAACCTTATGACTTAACCTTGTTAAAGGTGCAGACCCCATACACATGCTCAGGGCTGCCTAAGGGGGAGGGGCTTGTCCTTAGGCCTGTAGGCCACGCCCATCTTTCAGGGTGCTGGCGACTTCTTGTGCTAGGTCTTGTGGAATCCCTCTTCCTTCCCAGCCCTGTTTTTCTTTTTCTTTTTTCTTTTTTTGAGACGGAGTATTCACTCTGTTACCCAGGCTACAGTACAGTGGCGCAATCTCTGCTCACTGCAACCTCCACCTCCCAGGTTCAAGTGATTTCCTGCCTCGGCCTCCTGAGTAACTGGGACTACAGGCGTGCACCACCATGCCCCGCTAATTTTTGTATTTTTAGTAGAGATGGGGTTCCCCATGTCGGTCAGGCTGGTCTGGAACTCCTAATCTCAGGTATTCCACCTGTGTCAGCCTCCTAGAATGCTGGAATTACAGGCGTGAGCCACCGCACCCGGCATCAGAACTTTTTTCGATCCTGAGGGTCTAGGGTTTCTTGGCCCCCGCCAGTCAACCCCTAGAGATCTCAGCCTCCCCCACCCCATCCTTCTCCTGGATCCTGAGTTCCTCTTCCCCTCATCTTCCTAGTCCCGCAGGTACTATTTCCTAAGTGAGGAGGCTGAGGAGGGGGATGAGCTACAGCAACGTTGTCTGGACCTGGAGCGGCAGGTAGGGCCCGTGGTGGGGGTGGGTCACTTGCACAGCGCCCCCCACCCCCCCCCCCACCCCCGCCAAGCCCCAGCTCATCTTCCTGCTCTGCCTGCAGCTGATGCTCCTGTCAGAGGAAAAGCAGAGCCTGGCGCAAGAGAATGCAGCGCTGCGGGAGCGGGTGGTCCAGCCTGAAGGCGAGGGTACCCCAGGTCTCACTGCCAAGAAGCTGCTGCTGCTGCAGTCACAACTGGAGCAGTTGCAGGAGGAGAACTTCAGGTGGGGTCAGCAGGGGACTGGGCCAGGGAAGCCAGCGGACAGGGGCGAGGGCAGCCCCCTCATGTGCCCTTTCCCTACCAACCCCAGGCTGGAGAGTGGCAGGGAGGATGAGCGCCTGCGCTGTGCTGAGCTGGAGCGGGAGGTTGCCGAGCTGCAGCACCGGAATCAGGCGCTGACCAGCTTGGCCCAGGAGGCACAGGCCCTGAAGGATGAGATGGATGAGCTGCGGTGAGTGGTGGGTTCCTGGGTCCCCACCATGGGGGGCGGGGGAGAAACCTGTTGCCAGAGTTCCCCTCTGATGCCATAGCAGCTCTGTAATTTTCCTAGGCCCAGAGAACCCCCAATATGCCCCCTAGACTCCACAGTACCACCGGAGCCCTACAGAATGCCCAAGGCCACATTGCACTGTCCTGAACTCCACACTGTCCCCTCTTATCTCACATTATGCTTCCAAGACCCTGTAGCGTGCCTGTGGTCCCCCAAAACACAGGAACCTCCCCCACAATGCTCTGCAGACCCCACTGCACCATTTTGGGCTTCATAATGTTCCTGGATCCCATGGTACCTTCTAGAAATTCACAATGCAATTACTTTGCAACCCCTTTTGACTCTACTGTGCCTTCTGTGACCACAAAGGGCTCCACTGGGCCCCTATAGCATCCCTGTAATGTAAGTCTTAGTGCACAACCCCATTGCACTTCTAAGGACCCCACAGTGCTCTTGTCCCACAGCTCCCGCAATGACCCCAGGGTGTCCTTGGCAGATGCTCAGACCTCTCTAGGCCCCTCATCACTCCCGGCTATGATCCCACAACCCTGTGTATGCCCACAATTCCACCCCAGAAGATCCCTGATTATACCCCTGGGCTAACCATTGCTGTGACGACTCTCAACAGCACCAGGCCTGGGTTGACCCTTGACCCTCGACTTTCATGAACCCTTCACCTTGAACCCAAACGCCTCGGACTGAACACCCTCTTCTGCGCCAAGGGCCCCTCCCAGCTGACCCTTTATCTAAGCTCCCAGCCTGATCCCCTCCCTTCCCCATCCCCCAGGCAGTCCTCGGAGCGTGCTGGGCAGCTGGAGGCCACGCTGACCAGTTGCCGGCGCCGCCTGGGCGAGCTGAGGGAGCTACGGCGGCAGGTGCGGCAGCTGGAGGAACGCAACGCCGGTCACGCCGAGCGCACGCGGCAGCTGGAGGAGGAGCTGCGTCGTGCCGGCTCCCTACGCGTCCAGCTGGAGGCGCAGCGGCGGCAGGTGCGGTGGGGGCGGGATTAGGGCCGGGGCCCCGCCCCTAGCAGCGAGTCCCTTCCCGTTGGCCCGCCCTCCGCGCTCCCTGAGCCCATCCCTCACTTGTACATAGGCCACGCCCTCCAGGCCTCATTCCCGTCCCGCCCCCCCACCCCCCGCACCCAGGCTGTTCCTCTGTAAGGGTTTGTAAGCCTTCCCTTAAGTACCTCTCCCCTAAATTCTTTAGGGCCAGTACTTCTGGTCCCACCCCTTCACCATGACCAGGCTTCATGGTGAATCGAATAGCAATTCGATTTACTTCAGGTTACCCATGTAACAAAAACTCCTCATAAACTGAAAATATCCTAAAATGCATTGAAAGGCCAGGCCTGGTATTCCAGCGCTTTGGGAGGCTGAGGCAGGAGGATCACTTGAGCCCAGGATTTCGAGGCTGTAGTGATCTGTGGATGTATCACTGCATTCCAGCCTGGGTGACAGGCTGAGGCCCTGTGTCAAATAAAAAGTCCAGGTGTGGTGGCTCGCCAAGGCGGGCACTCCATTATGCCTTCTGTAACCCCACATCACTTGAGGCCAGGAGTTTGAGACCATCCTGACAAACTAGCGAAACCCTGCCTCTACTAAAAATAAAAAAATTAGTCCGGCATAGTGGCGGGTGCCTGTAATCTACTCGGGAAGCTGAGGCACGAGAATAGCTTGTACCTGGGAGGCGGAAGTTGCAGTAAGCCATGACTGCACCACTGCACTCCAACCGGGGTGAGAGGGTGAGACTCTATCTCAAAAGAAAAAATGAGGGCTGGGTGGGGTGACTCATGCCTATAAACCCAGCACTTTGGAAGGCTGAGATGGGAGATAACTTGAGGCTAGGAGTTCGAGAATAAGCCTGGTCAACATAGCAAGACCCCATCTTTTTTAAAAAATAAGAAAAAAGAAAATCCATTGCATATACCTTGCCTACGGAACATCACAGCTTAGCCTAGCCTACCCTAAAGATGCTCAGAAAACTTGTCTTAGCCTACTTTGGCAAAATCATCTACCACAAAACCTGTTTTATAATAAGGAATCGACTATATGCAGTTTATTGGAGACCGTAATTCATCGACATTGAAAAACAGAATGGTTGTATGGGTTCTTACCATTAACATTCACAGCTGGCTGAGTGCAGGGGCTCACACCTGTTATGCCAGTGCGTTGGGAGGCTGAAGTGGGAGGATCACTTGAGGCCAGGAGTTCGAGATCAGTCAGGGCAACAGAGCGAGACCCTGTCTCTACAAAATACAAGCAAAAAACATACACAATTGAAAGCACCATAGTAAAATCAAAAGATCATAAGTCGAACCATCCTGGATCGGAGACCATCTGTACTCAGCCCCTGCCCCTCCTTCCATCTCTGAAGTCCTCATTCCTCCCCTTTCCGTGTTCAGGTGCAGGAACTGCAGGGCCAGCGACAGGAGGAAGCCATGAAGGCTGAGAAATGGCTATTTGAATGCCGAAACCTGGAGGAAAAGTATGAGTCTGTGACAAAGGAGAAGGAGGTGAGACTGAGGTCCCACTGCCCAAGCCCCACCCTGCCAATCCTGGGGTTGCCAATTTCCCAGGAGATCGAGCCTGGACTGTGTGGTGTCTTGTTCCCTGTCCCTGCAGCGGCTGTTGGCGGAGAGGGACTCCTTACGGGAGGCCAATGAAGAGCTGCGCTGTGCCCAGTTGCAGCCGCGGGGGCTGACCCAGGCGGGTGAGATGAAGCCCCATCCCCAGGCCTTGCCTGTCCTGGGGTACTGTTTGGGCAGAACAGGTTGTGTCCCAGGGCATGTCTAGGCTGGGGACAGAGCTAGGCCAGGCTGGAGGTGACCAGAAAGAGGTGACAGGGTCAAATTGAAGAGAGAGGCTCATGGGCTCATGGGCTCATGGGCTCATGGAGGAGCAAAGGCAAAAAACCCGGGCCAACCATCACTGTTCTCTGTCAAGCCCTGGATGGGGCCGGCTGAACCTGAGCCCCAAAAGATGATCGTTGGAAAGAAGACCCTAGGGGCGGGGACAGGGATGCGAAGAGACCTGAAGACTTTTCTCGCCTCCTTCAGACCTCTCAATGGATCCCACCTCCCCAGCCGTGGATAACTTAGCCGCGGAGATCCTGCCTGCAGAGCTCAGGTATCCTGGGGTCACTCAAAACTCTGGCCCCACCCAGGCCTGCCAAGGCCCGCCCTCAGCCCCGCCCCCACCCTCCCACCTTCCACTAGCCCTGGTTGCTTGGTCTCAGCTCCAGGTCCTAGCCGGGCTCCTAGGCCCACTTACTCCTAATTTGGCTCTTACCTACCCAGGGCCCTCGCCCTACCAGACGACTTTGCCTCTCCAGGGTCTATCCTTAGTACACAAATTATGTCCAACACCTGTTTTCACTTCCTGCGCAAAAATCCTAACCCCGCCACTTTGATCCTTTCTCTCAGGGTCCAGCCCTGCCAGTGAGTTTCTTTTTTTTTTTTTTTTCTTTTTTTTTTGAGACAGAGTCTTACTCTGTCACCAGGCTGGAGTACAGTGGCGCGATCTCGGCTCACTGCAACCTCCGCCTCTCAGGTTCAAGCAATTCTCCTGCCTCAGCCTCCCGAGTAGCTGGGACTACAGGCACATGCCACCACGCCCAGCTAATTTTTGTATTTTTAGTAGAGACGGGGTTTCCCCATGTTGGCCAGGATGGGCTCCATCTCTTGACCTCATGATCCGCCTGCCTTGGCCTCCCAAAGTGCTGGGATTACAGGCGTGAGCCACTGCACCCGGCCTGCTTCTGTGGGTTTTTTTTTTTTTTTTTTTTTTGAGACAGTTTCGCTGTTGTTAGCCAGACTGGAGTGCAATGGCACAATCTCGGCTCACCGCAACCTCCACCTCCTGGGTTCAAGCAATTCTCCTGCCTCAGCCTCCTGAGTAGCTGGGACTACAGGCACGCACCACCATGCTCAGCTAATTTTTTGTATTATTAGTAGAGACAGGGTTTCACCTTGTTGACCAGGATGGTCTCGATCTCTTGACCTCGTGGTCCACCCGCCTCGGCCTCCCAAAGTGCTGGGATTATAGGCGTGAGCCACCGTGCCCAGCCTGCCTTTGTGAGTTTCAATCCACTCTGCCCTGCCTGGAACTCTCCCATCCCAGGCCAGGCATGGTGGATCACGCTTCTAAATCCTAGCACTTTGGAAGGTCAAAGCGGGAGGATCACTTGAGCCCAGGAGCATCCTGGGCAACATAGTGGCCCTCTCTACAAAATAAAAATGATTTAAAAACCCCCAAAACAGCCAGGCGTGGTGGCTCACGCCTGTAATCCCAGCACTTTAGGAGGCTGAGGCGGGTGGATCACCTGAGGTCGAGATCAGCCTGGCCAAAATGGTGAAACCCGTCTCTACTAAAAATACAAAAATGAACTGGGCATGGTGGCACATGCCTGTAATCCCAGCTAGTCCGGAGGCTGAGGCAGGAGAATCACTTGAACCTGAGAGGCGGAGGTTGCAGTGAGTCGAGATCGTGCCACTGCACTCCAGCCTGGGTGACAAAGGGAGACTCCGTTCCCCCCCCACACACACACACACAAAAACCCAAAACAAACCCAAAAAACTCTCCCATCCTAGTTCTTCCCATTCCTGCTTCCCGCTTTCCCACAGCCGCATCCCAGCTGTGCGAATCTGCTCCTGTAACTCCGCCCTTGCCCAGCTCCACCCCCTGCCCCAGCTTAGAGCTCCGCCCACTTTGACCCTGGCCGGGGAGCCTCAGCCCCTTGTAGGTCCTCGGTGCTCCTACCCCATGGTCTGGCTGGGCTCTTCCCCAGGGCTCTGTCCCGCCCCTAGCTCCACCCGCACGGAGCCCCAGTGGGCCTGCGGAGTGACTTGTCCCTGGCGCTCCTCTCTCCTCCCGGGTCTGCAGGGAGACGCTCCTGCGGCTTCAGCTGGAGAACAAGCGGCTGTGCCGGCAGGAGGCGGCCGACCGGGAGCGGCAGGAGGAGCTGCAGCGCCACCTGGAGGAGGCCAACCGCGCACGCCACGGGTTGGAGACGCAGCACCGGTGAGAGCCCGGGGACCCTGCGAAGTGCAGGGACAGAAGGGGCTGAAGGCGGGTGCAGGCACTAAGCGGCCCCCCACCCTCTCAGGCTGAACCAGCAGCAGCTATCCGAGCTGCGGGCCCAGGTGGAGGACTTGCAGAAATCCCTGCAGGAGCAGGGGGGCAAGACTGAAGACGTGAGTATCCCCCCCATCACCTCCCTGCCTGGCTCTCCCTCGTGCCCCAAAGTAACCCTCCTCTCTCTCCCATGCTGCCCGATGCCCCATACAGGCCATCGTAAGTATCATGGGCCCAGGGTGGCACCCCCTATCCTCACCCTGGGAAGGAGGTGTTAGGGCTTCTCTGGACCCCCCATTCACCTTGCCTCTTCTCTCCCCCAGTCCATCTTGCTGAAAAGGAAGCTGGAGGAGCATCTGTAAGTTGCAGAAAGAGGGCGTTCCTGGTGGGGGCATGGATTCGACATTAGTGGGGAGTTTCTTAGGCGTGTGCCACCATACCTGGCTAATGTTTTATATTTTTAGTAGAGATGGGGTTTCACCACATCGGCCAGGCTGTTCTCAAACTCCTGACCTCAGGTGATCCACCCCCTTTGGCCTCCCAAAGTGCTGGGATTACAGGCATGAGCCACCAGACCCAGCCTTCTTCTTCTTCTTTTTTTTTTTTTAACAGAGTCTCACTCTGTCATCAGGCTGGAGTGCAGTGGTGCCATCTCAGCTCACTTCGACCTCCCCCTCTGGAGTTCAGGCAATTCTCCTGCCTCAGCCTCCCAAGTAGCTGGAACTACAGGCACACACCAGCACACTCAGCTAATTTTTGTATTTTTAGTAGAGACAGGGTTTCACCATGTTGGCCAGGATGGTCTCGATCTGTTGACCTCGTGATCTGCCTGCCTCGGTTTCCCAAAGTGCTGTGATTACAGGTGTGAACCATGGTGCCCAGCTGCCTTTTTTTTCTTTTACCTGTCTGCTGGTGAAGAGATTTGTGTTCTAGAAGGTCTCTGGCTGCTGGATGGAGGGGTTCAGGGTAGAAGAGGCTAGCAAGGGAAAATGGTGGCTGGACCAACTCGGGAGCTATGGGATGGGAAGAAGTGGGCAGCAGAGGGCTGTTCCAGGGACACCTGCTGAAGGTGCAGGGAAGGTTGTGGCTCTGGCTGAGGAGATGGTGGGACCAGGGCACACAGCCCCCAGGCATGGGGGACAGGCAGATAGGTCTCTGTGGCCATGTAGGGGCATTTCTGGCTGGGCTACCACTGGGATGAAAGAGAAGCCAGCTCAGAGGTCAACCCACTGTTGCCCATCCGTGGTCCACAGGCAGAAGCTTCATGAGGCAGATCTGGAGCTGCAGAGGAAGCGGGAGTACATCGAGGAGCTGGAGCCGCCCACTGACAGCAGCAGTAAGTAGGACCTGGCAACCAGAGGGTGGGGAGAGCTCAGAGCCCAAAAGTGTGGAGCTGACGGGACACCTCTTCCGCCAGCAGCCCGGCGGATCGAGGAGCTGCAGCATAGCCTGCAGAAGAAGGACGCGGACTTGCGGGCCATGGAGGAGCGATACCGTCGCTACGTGGACAAGGCCCACATGGTGAGGACACTGGGTGTTCCCACAAGTCGCCTGCCCTGGCTCCCACTCTTTTGTGCCTCCCATTGAGTCAAACCTTCTGCTTGGACATCTGTGCCCCCAACTCCCACCTGTCATATCCCACCATGTGATAGACCCCACTGCCACTGATTGTCACATTAAAATACTGCACAGCCGGCCAGGGGCCGTGGCTCACGCCTGTAATCCCAGCTCTTTGGGAGGCCGAGGATGAGGTCAGGACTTGGAGACCACCCTGGCCAACATGGTGAAACCCAATCTCTACCAAAAATACAAAAATTAGGCCAGGCGCCATGGCTCACGCCTGTAATCCCAGCACTTTGGGAGGCTGAGGTGGGTGGATCATGAGGTTAGGAGATCGAGACCATCCTGGCCATGGCAAAACCCCATCTCTATTAAAATACAAAAATTAGCCGAGCATGGTGGCAGGTGCCTGTAATCCTAGCTACTCAGGAAGCTGAGGCAGAGAATTACTTGAACCTGGGAGGTGGAGGTCGCAGCGACGCTGCACTCCAGCTGGGGTGACAAAGTGAGACTCCGTCTAGAAACAAAAACAAAAACTAGCTGAGCATGGTGGTGGGCACCTGTAATACCAGCTATTTGGGAGGTTGAGGCAGGACAGTCATTTGAACCTGGGAAGAGGAGGTTGGAGTGAGCTGAAATTATGCCATTGCACTCCAGCCTGGGTGACAGGGCAAGACTCAGTCTTAAAAAAAAAAATACTGCACAGCCAGGCACAGTAGTTCATGCCTGTAATCCCAGCACTTTGGGAGGCTAAGGTGGGTGATCATGTGAGGTCAGGAGTTCGAGACCAGCCTGGCCAACATATAAAAACCCTGTCTCTACTAAAAATAGAAAAATTAGCCAGTGTGGTGGCACGAGCCTATAATCCCAGCTACTCGGGAGGCTGAGGCAGGAGAATAGCTTGAACATGGGAGGCAAAGGTTGCAGTGAGCTGAGATTGCGCCACTTCACTCCAGCCTGGGAACAGAGCCAGACTCCATGTCAAAAATAAAAATAAACAAAATAAAGTACTGCACAGCTGGGCACAATGGCTCACACCTGTAATCTCAAGACTGGGAGGTTGAGGCAGGAGGACTGCTTGATGCCAGGAGTTCAGGACCATCCTGGGCGACATAGGGGGACTCTGTCTCTATAATGAATGAAAGAATGAATGAGGCCAGGTATGGTGGCTCACACCTGTAATCCCAGCACTTTGAGAGGCTGAGGTGAGTGGATCACAAGGTCAGGAGTTCGAGACCAGCCTGACCAACATGGTGAAACCCCATCTCAACTTAAAATACAAAAATTAGTCAAGCATAGTGGCGGGCATCTGTAATCCCAGCTACTCAGAAGACTGAGGCAGGAGAATCGCTTGAACCCAGAATTTGCAGTGACCTGAGATTGTGCCACTGCACTCCAGCCTGGGTGACAGAGTGAGACTCCATCAAAAAAAAAAAAAAAAAGAATGAATGAATATACACACCCCAGTGTGTCCCAGGGGGTTTCAAGGCCAAAGTCACCTGGCTGTGACTTCCCCAACCTGTAGGTTATGCAGACCCTGGAACCCAAGCAGCGGCCAGCTGTGGGGGCACCCCCAGACCTCCACACCCTGAGGACAAAGCTCCGAGAACGGGATGTCCGCATCCGGCACCTGGAGGTGGGTGTCCTTGTCCCTTTATGCTGCCTCCAGCATATCCAGGCCCCTGAAACTTGCCTCCTTGACAGATGGACTTTGAGAAAAGCCGAAGTCAGCGGGAGCAGGAAGAAAAGCTGCTCATCAGTGCCTGGTATAATATGGTGAGTGTGAGGTCTGGGCTCTAAGATCTCATGGGTAGAGTATTTTAGGGGTCCTGTGGGCTCACCTGATCCCAACCACACCTCTTCCTGAAGGGCATGGCCTTGCAGCAGCGAGCCGGGGAAGAGCGGGCGCCTGCCCATGCCCAGTCGTTCCTAGCACAGCAGCGGCTGGCAACCAATGCTCGCCGTGGACCCCTGGGACGCCTGGCATCTCTCAGCCTTCGCCCCACCGACAAGCACTGACAGACCTGATGATCCAGCCAGCCGGGGCTCCATCCATCCTGGCTTCCTCCAACTCACTTGGCGCCCAGCATCGGGCTTCAGCCAGCGGCTTGAGAGCCTTGAGGTCATGACCTCCACCCTTCGCTCTCCCAGATTGGTGGGGAGGGAGGGTGGGAGGTAGATATAGGACTGTTCATTTTAGCAATGTGATTCTTAATGTTGATTCTCTCTCTGGAGTTCATGTGCTGCCTAAGGAGAGTCTGATTTTATATTTGAGAAAAATAAAGACTTTCAATCTTTGGCTGTGCTCTGGGCACCGTGGTAAGGGAAAGTGGGCTGGGGGCTTAGCCCATTGCTTTTAAGAAAAGCTTGATTTGGCTGGGCATGGTGGCTCACGACTGTAATCCCAGCACTATGGGAGGCTGAGGCAGGTGGATCACTTGAGGTCAGGTGTTAAAGACTAGCCTGGTTAAACAGGTTAAAAATACATATATTGAGTGAAATAGGTTAAAAAAAAAAAAGACTAGCCTGGCCAACATGGCGAAACCCCTGCTCTACTAAAAATACAAAAATTAGCAGAGCATGGTGGTGCATGCCTATAATCCCAGCTACTCAGGAGGCTGAGGTCAGAGGGGAGGTCCGGAGGTTACAGTGAGCTGAGATCATGCCATTGTACTCCAGCCTGGGCAACAGAACAAGATTTCATCTCAAAAAAAGAAAGAAAGAAAAAAGCTTGGCTTGGCCCCTTCCCTTTTCCCACCCCAGTAACTTCCTGCGGGGATCCAGGAGCCCCCAGGCCGCGCCGAACGGCAGTGGATGGGGGGAGGGGGGAAGGGAAGGATGAGTGCTACGGGGCGGCAGAAATGGGTTGGGGGAAGAAGGGGTGGTGGAAGGAAAAAGAAAAAACCGGAGGCATGCAGTCGGTTCCCTAGCCAGCTGTTCCAGCTGCTGCTTCCTCCGGCGCGGGCCGGGCGATGCAATATTCCCCCCCATCTTTCTCACCACTACCTGTCCCCCCATCCCACCACACGCACTCATCCCTCCCACCCACACCCCCAGTAGCGCATCTCCGGCCTGTAAGGGGGTAGTAGGGAGGAGCTGGGGGGAGGAGAGGCCTGCGAGTTTCTAACCTTGTTCTTATAAACCCACATGTGCAGCTGCCGCTGCTGCAACTCACCCCACTATCCCGGATATAGGTCCTGCCCCTTTAAGAGGGAAAAAAGCTTCCCCCGCCTGCCTCCCACCCCACCCATCCACTAGGACCTTTGTCTTCCCACCCCGCCTTGTCAGTCGGTCACGGCCCGTCTCCCCGCCCCGGCCAACCCAGAGGCACCAATAGGCGAAGACAATAAGGACAGGGGTATGACGTCACCATGTTAGGCCAATCACCGGGTGCGTTGGTGGGAGGCCTCACGGAGAGCGCGCCCGGAGGAAGGCAGGCAGGAGAGAGGAAGCTTTAAGTCGAGATGGAGTCTGCTGGTTGCTCCGCTGCTGCTGTCAGGACTCGGGACATGGAGTCCCAGAGGGACCTGAGCCTGGTGCCTGAGCGGCTTCAGAGACGCGAACAAGAGCGGCAGCTGGAAGTGGAAAGACGGAAACAAAAGCGGCAAAACCAAGAGGTAGAGGAGGAGAACCGCAACTTTTTCACCGCCGCCTTTGCTCGGGAGCGGGCGGCCGTGGAAGAGCTTTTGGAGGGCACGGAGTCGGTTGAGCGGCTGGAGGAGGTGGCCTCTCGGCTCCAGGGGCTGCAGAAACTTCTCAACGACTCGGTTTTGTTTCTAACCGCTTACGACCTGCGGCAGAGACAAGAGGCGCTGGTGCGGCTTCAGGCGGCCCTGGCCGAGCGGCGTCAGGAGCTGCAGCCCAAGAAGCGTTTCGCTTTCAAGACCCGGAGAAAGGATGCTGCTTCGTGTACCAGAGTCGGCGCGGCTCCTGGCATCCCCCCGGCAGCTGAAAGCATCCAGGACTCCCCGCTGCCCCAGAAGGCGGAGGGAGACTTCGGCTCCAGCTGGGTCTGCGGTTTCTCCAACCTGGAGTCCCAAGTCTTGGAGAAGAGAGCCAGCGAGTTGCACCAACGCGACGTCCTTTTGACCGAACTGAGCAACTGCACAGTCAAACTGTATGGAAATCCCAACACCCTGCGGCTATCCAAGGCCCACGGCTGCAAGCTGCTCTGCGGTCCGGTGTCCACCTCTGTTTTCCTGGAGGACTGCAGTGACTGCGTGCTGGCCGTAGCCTGCCAGCAGCTCCGCATACACAGTACGAAAGACACTCGCATCTTCCTGCAGGTGACTAGCAGGGCCATCGTGGAGGACTGCAGTGGGATCCAGTTCGCCCCTTACACCTGGAGCTACCCGGAGATCGATAAGGACTTCGAGCGCTCTGGTTTAGATAGGAGCAAAAATAGCTGGAACGATGTTGACGACTTTAACTGGCTGGCCCGGGATATGGCCTCCCCAAACTGGAGTGTCCTTCCTGAAGAGGAGCGAAGTATCCAGTGGGACTAAGCAGTAGTCGCTCCTCTTCACTCCGACCAAGTACTTTCCACGTTGGACTTTCCCCTTATTGCGTCTCGAAGTTTGCTTATTGTCACACTGTGTATGTTTTCGGTATTTTAAGGCTTGAGATTGTAATAGGCTCCTACTTGTAATTTCCATTAAATTATTAACAGGTGTAACACTAAAAAAAAAAAAAAAAGCTTGGCTTGTATTCTTACTAAAGTATAAGTGACTAATAACACCATCTAGAAATAGGTGAGGATCTCATTTGTGTGTTTGTGAATTGTGGTAATTTCTTTTCTTTTTTTTTTTTTTTTTTTTTTGAGACAGTCTTGCTCTGGAGTGCAGTGGTGCAGTCTCAGCTCACTGGGGCCTCTGCCTCCCATGTTCGAGTAATTCTGCCTCAGCCTCCCGAGTAGCTGGGATTACAGGCATGCGCCCATGCCCAGCTAGTTTTTGTATCTTTAATATAGACAGGTTTCACCATGTTGGCCAGGCTGGTCTAGAACTCCTTACCTTGTGATCTGCCTGCCTCAGTCTCCCAAAGTACTGGAATTACAGGCGTTAGCCACCACACCTGGCTTGGCAGTTTTTCTTTTTTGGTTGCTGTTGCTATTGTTGTTTTGAAACGGACTCTCCCTCTGTCACCCAGGCTGGACTACAGTGGCACAATCGCAGCTCACTGCAACCTCTGCTTCCCAGGTTGAAGTGATTCTCCTGCTTCAGCCTCCCAAATAGCTGGGACCACAAGCACATGTCACCACACCTGGCTAATTTTTATATTTTTAGTAGAAACAGGGTTTCACCATGTTGGCCAAGGTGGTCTTGAACTCCTGACCTCAATGGTTTGTCCACCTCGGCTTCCCAAAGTGCTGACATTACAAGCATGAGCCACCGTGCCAGGCCATGTACTGGTTTTTGAAGAAGCTTTAGACAGGCCAGGTGTGGTGGTTCACTCTTGTGATTCCAGCACTTTGGAGGGCCAGGGTGGGTGGATCACTTGAGCCCAGAAGTTCAAAACCAGCCTGGGCAACATAGTGAGACCCCATCTCCACCAAAAACAAAAATTAGCTGGCATGCGCCTATGGTTCCCGCTACTCAGGAGGCTAAGGTGTGGCTGGACACAGTGGCTCACGCCTGTAATCCAAGCACTTTGGGAGGCCAAGGCAGATGGATCACCTGAGGTCAGGAGTTTAAGACCAGCCTGGCCAACATGGTGAAAACCTGTCTCTACTAAAAATATTAAAAGTTAATCAGGCATGGTGGCAGGCATCTGTAATCCTAGCACTCTGGAGGGTGAGGCAGGAGAATCACTTGAACCTGGGAGGTGGAGGTTGCAGTGAGCTGAGATTATACCACTGCATTCCAAAAAAAAAAAAAGTGGGGGGTGTCAGGCTCAGTGGCTCACACCTGTAATCCCAACACTTTGGCAGTTTGAGGCAGGCTAAATACAAATTTAGGCGGGCGTGGTGGTGCGCGTCTATAATCCCAGCTACTTGGGAAGTCAGGCAGTAGAATCACCTGAACTTGGGAGGCAGAGGTTGCACTGAGTGGAGACCACACCATTGCACTCCAGTCTGGGCAAAAAGAGCGAAACTTTATTTTAGAAAGAAAAAAAAGAAGGCAGGCTAGGCGTGGTGGTTCACACCTGTAATCCCAGCACTTCAGGAGGCTGGGGCAGGTGGATCACAAGGTCAGAAGTTTGAGAACAGCCTGGCCAATGTGGTGAAACCCCATGTCTACTAAAAATACAAAAATATTTAGCCGAGCATGGTGGCAAATGCCTGTAATCCCAGCTACTTGGGAGACTGAGGCAGGAGAATTGCTTAAACCTGGGAGGCAGAGGTTGCAGTGAGCTGAGACTGCTCCACTGCACTCCAGCCTGGGCAGCAGAGCAAGACTTCGTCTCATAAAAGGAAGGCTAAGGTGGGAGAATGGCTTGACCCAGAGAGGTGGAGGCTGTAGTGAGTAGAGATCAAGCCACTGCACTCCTGTTTTAGACAAAAATGCCTGCCTTCGGCCGGGCGCGGTGGCTCACGCCTATAATCCCAGCACTTTGGGAGGTCGAGGTGGGTGGATCACGAGGTCAAGAGATTGAGACCATCCTGGTCAACGAGATGAAACCCCCGTCTCTACTAAAAATACAAAAATTAGCTGGGCAGAGTGGTGCGCGCCTGTAGTCCCAGCTATTCGGGAGGCTGAGGCAGGAGAATTGCTTGAACCCAGGGGGCGGAGGTTGCGGTGAGCCGAGATTGTGCCACTGCACTCCAGTCTGGGTAAGAACAGCAAAACTCCGTCTCAAAAAAAAAATGCCTGCCTTCATGAAGCTGAGGGTTATAATAAAGACAGGCAGACATTAAAGTAGATAAAACAAAAGCTTGATGTGAGAAGAAGTGCCACAGAGGAAAATAAAGCTGCAATAAGTGATGGGGATAGAAGTGGTAGACCTGGGAGTTGGCAATTTATAATAAAAGGCCAGAGGCTGGGCATCATGGCCAAAACCTGTAATCACAGCATTTTGGGAATGAGGTGGAAGTATGTCTTAAGCACAGGAGTTCCAGACCAGCATGGGCAACATACTGAGACCTCGTCTGTACAAAAATAAAAAAAATTAGGGCCAGTGGGGTGGCTCATGCCTGTAATCCCAGGACTTTGGAAGGCCGAGGTGGGTGGATTACCTGAGGTTGGGAGTTTGAGACCAGCCTGGCCAACATGAAGAAACCCCATCTCTACTAAAAACGAAAACAAAAAATTAGCTAGGCATGGTGGTAAACTGTGGTTCTAGCTACTCAGGAGCCTCAGG